AAAAAAGACAAGAATCAATGTAACAAATAATATACAAATATCTAATAAAAATTTTTTGAATAAATTCCTAAAATAGTTGTGTGTTTGTTATTTTTATATATCCAATACACTTTATTGGTAAATTAAAATATGCGAATCTATCACAGGTTAAAAAAGGATAGTGTCGCATATTTTATTGCAAGACAATTTCTAAAAGTAACTTTATTATAAAGGAGTGACTTATCCAGAAGGCACATAATATTTGTGTTTAGTTTTTCAAATTGAGTTTATTGATAGGAATTCAAGTTTTAATATAACTTAAATACAACAAAAAATTTCAAGTGTTGTTTCCATATTTATAAAATGTTGTAATGATTAAAAATTATCTTTAACTGAGATCCACAACAAAAATCGGTGATCAAGATTATACGTAACGCACTCTATTTTTTTTTAAAAAAATTAATTAGTGAAATATATTTCAGAATTACACATCAGGAACGCTAATGAACAAAACGAAAACGCGTGTTACTTTAAAAATATTACACTATTTTAACAGATAAGTAAACTATAAGTAAAGTCTAAGTCACGGCCATGTTTTCACTAAAGCTGAAGATCTCGGTGGAAGCAATGTCAGAATGGAAAATATGAAATGAGAACTATGAGAGAAAAAAATCTAATGTGAAAAATGTTAATGAAACTTTAAATATTTTTCACAACAATGGCATTTTTAATGCTGAATATATAACTTAAGTTAAATAAAAGTAATGTCCATGTAATACACTTTAAAATCTTTTATCAATAAACATCTCTATCAAAAATGGTTCCAAAACGATTCCACAAGTCTAAACAGCAGGGAAGGGCATTAAGTGAATCGCGATTGACCGGAGGACTGCTAAGACATCTTGGGGTGACCGCCTGAAGATAAAACAGTAATTATACACCAAAATATTCAAAAGCAGAGCTGACTATATACAGGTTAAGTCTCCTACTAACTATGAGTACTAACTTTAGATGAACATATTTTATTTCTTAATGTTTTTTAATTGTTTGATAGTAAATGCCATCAGCGTGATATTTTTTTATTTGTCGCTATTATTATTATGTTTGCATCTTGCGTTTTACTTTAAACGAGGTTGAAAAATTTATTTTTTTATTTAAATAAGTACATATTCCGTATTTATAATTGAAAAAAAATTACCGTATATTTCCGTATTTATTCCTTATTTATAATACCTCACATCGCCTACGCCCCGGTAAGGACTGCAACACCTTGAAAAGATTAGAAGTAGCCCGCCCCCTGGAAAAGTCTGTCCCCCCCTGCATTATAAAGACACTTAACCCTTTATCTGTGTCGACGGTACTTATAAGTACCACTCACTTTAAAATAACATAGAATAACCAATTTCACGAATATTCTGACAATACTTAGGAGGAATATTCTTTGAAATCCACTCTTCCAAGATATATGACAGCACGGGTTCTATGATGGGTATTTCAGCGGGGAAGGCGAATAGTTTTATAACGAAATTGCGTATTCAGCGGATTGCAAAGATTATCATTTTTATCCCGAAAAAAAAAGAGTTAATGTCAAAATTTAAGTGTATTTTTTTGTGTATGTTAATGATGACCTCAGAAAACGATTTAACTCTATTTTAAGTGAACAATGTATATAATTAATTTTACAGTAGAATATCTTTAATTAATTAGCTCTAACGGATTAAATTTCCCAAAGTTGAGTATTTTGTTTATGTATATATCCCTTAATTTTCAATGTAGTGATCCAAAAAAAAAAAAAATATTGCATGAAAAAAACTGCAGTAAATCATAATGCGGTAAATAAGGGGTTCAACTCTAATAATTATGCAAGGAAATTTAATATTTTTAAAAAATTCTTTAGTCCTGTTTTAAGTACTTTGGTGTTTCCCAACTCAGGTAAATCAAAAGCACATGTAAGGCGAAAAGCACATCAGATTGAGCGCCCGAATATTATCCCAGAAATCAAAAACGAGATAAGGAGAGGGAAAAAACTAGAAAAACTACAATATAAGAGCTGAAACCGGTTGGAAATAGAGTACTCGGAAGACTGGGAAAAAAACGGACAAAAGGCTATCTTAATTTACACTTAGTTGTGTAAAAGCATACAAACAAGTAATGAAAGGGATTTTACTGAAGCAATTCCTGGAGCAAAACAGCATTTTAAATCATTTTTCGAAGAGACTGTTATGTTGACGTTTGAATGGTAAGTAAAAGAAATTTACGGTCACAGAAAGTATTTTAGGACACGGCGCTATTTTTGTAATCATGTTTTATACTAAAAGAAAGAAAGGGACAGACATCGAGGGAATTTTCATAAATGTTTGAGTAAGTTTATGGAAATTCTGGATTCCATTGTTGAGAATGCGTAATAAAGATTTTCAGGGGGGACAATGGTTTATACTAATGAATATATATTTTCGCGAGCGACAGTTTTCTTTCAGAATCTTTAAACACGATGAATATGCAAAGAGAACTGTGAACCAATTTCCTAAATTCCCACACTTTTCACCAAATCTCTCCCGTTCAGAGTGACCAGGTCACACGATCTCTATAAAGGATTGAAATTTAAGGAAACTGTTAGGCTGTTGTGTAAGATTTGAGGTACGTGAGGCTCTCTGACATAAATTCAGTTTTCAGGAAGAAATATTTTCTTTTTCATCTAGATATGCCTTCGTATATTTCTAAATTCCTCAATAAAACAATTTCACTTTATAGTCTACACAACACGGGTCAAACTCTCGGCCCACAACGAACATTTTTGCGATTCGACCAGTATATCGACACTCAATAGTTATTTTTTTTATTTCTAATGGGCTGCGGATTGATTTTTTTAACATTACAGAGCTAGTACATTTCCCGGAAGCTGGTATCTCTTTTTAACATTACAGACCTAGTACATTCCCCGGAAGCTGGTATCTCTTTTTAACATTACAGACCTAGTACATTCCCCGGAAGCTGGTATCTCTTTTTAACATTACAGACCTAGTACATTTCCCGGAAGCTGGTATCTCTTTTAACATTACAGACCTAGTACATTCCCCGGAAGCTGGTATCTCTTTTTAACATTGCAGACCTAGTACATTTCCCCGGAAGCTGGTATCTCTTTTTTAACATTACAGACCTAGTACATTTCCCGGAAGCTGGTATCTCTTTTAACATTACAGACCTAGTACATTTCCCGGAAGCTGGTATCTCTTTTTTAACATTACAGACCTAGTACATTCCCCGAAACCTATCTCTTTTTAACATTACAGACCTAGTACATTCCCCGGAAGCTGGTATCTCTTTTTAACATTGCACACCTAGTACATTCCCCGGATCTCTTTTGAGTGCGGCACCACACAGGCGGATACCAATCGCCTCAAGTAATTTTGACGACCAGAGGTAGGCACTTGAGTTCTGACGATGCGAACGTGTACTGGGATATTAATTTTGCCGAGAGCACCCACGCCAAACAAACTCTAAGGATCTTTTACATGCCTTATAATCATACGACATGGCCGCTGTCAATTTTCTGCATCATGAAAATCCACCGACCTTAGGACCCGTAACCTTAGGTGCAGATTGATTGATTGATTGAATATTAACGTCGCACTGTTCAGCTACACGAGGGCTTTTGGCGACGGACCACGTAATTTTGAGCCATGGTCAAGTGACGTGGACGACACCTGAGCTGGCACCCCCTATCCTAACTACCACACCACACCAACGGACGTTTCAGCTCTCGACAGATTTAACGTGCATCGCTGCCCTACACGGCGGGTCTTTAGTGGTACTGGGCTCGAACCCGTGACAAAGCAAGCCACGGTCCGATACCTATACCCCTCGGCTACCGCGGCCACACCTTAAGTGCAGAAGACCAGCGGCAAACCAGCCACGACAGCCAGCAATAACATATTAAGTATCAAAATTTCTCCCGAAATAGGAAAGATAGTTGCAGAGAAGAGATGTCAAGTGTCAGGATGTAAACATTAATTATTTTGTTCTTTTATTTCTGTTTATTATAATGTATTATTCGAAATAAACCTAGGTTTCTACGACTAAGGATTTTTTTTTGCGGCCCACCTAAGTTAAACATTGTTTGGCCCAAGTAAGTCTTTGTGTTTGTTAGCCTTGGTTTACAGCAATCGATTTTTTTGCAAAATCTCGGCCTCCACTTTTAAGTATTGTACCTGTATGTAATCTGTTCAGTAGGTATGTGTGTGTGTGTTTCAATATTTAAACTACGCCTCTAATACATGGCTGTACAGACCTTTGGTCACATGTAGGCCACTATTTTCAATAGCATCCTCATATATATGCTACTTTACTCAGAGAGAAATTTATTTTCTTCAATGAAATTCAGGAATTAAAGTTGAATTAATATTATTGTACGTTTTGATGATTGCAGACTCGTAAAATAGCATGTACGTGATCATTATATGTTCTGACAATTCTTATATACTTGCATTCATTAATGACAAAAAAATTTTATGTTGGTAATTAAATAATATTTTACAAGTTAAAATTATTGAAGATGTTATGCATATTTACCATCATTTCACTCTATACTTAAAAATGTAAAATCATTTCTGTACTTATACATAAGTAAAAAAAAGTTTATGCCAGAAATAACTCGATCTCAATGAGATGAGAAAAGTATATAAATACTACGAAGATTTGTTAAAATACTATATATGATATGATATTCTAATCGGTGAATGTGAACAAGAAATATAAAAAAATTAAGTCGATTTCTACTTAGGTCAACAAAGAAAAATTTTATTTTAATTACTTTTTATTAAATAGTTACAATTAATATAAACATATCAAGAATCACACAATTAAGTGAAGAAATTGAAAGCGATTTCCCTTGCAATTTTCCACTTTCCTTTCTATATATGGTGTCGGACTATTTTTGTTTGTTGCTATTCATTCATTAATTAAATTGAATTATTCTAATAAAGTAGAAAAGGAAATAGAAATCACATTCTCAAAAATTAGGCTGTCCCAGGTGGGATTCGAACCCACGACCTTTCGATTAGAAGTCCAACACTACCCATTGCTTTACAGGGACAGAGCGACTTTCCTTTTTATATGTATGGTGTTTGACTATTATTTTTGTTTGTTTTTATTCATTAATTAAATTAAATTAATTAATATTTGAAAAAAACTATTAACATCAAGTGTCATCCACTACAAGTTTTTAAAAATGTATTTGAACCTGAGCGGATGAATAAAAAGTATTTCGTTAACGATTGAAAATTTGAACAAGATATATATATAGAGAGAGAGAGAGAGAATGAACTAATAGTAGGAATTGAAAAAGCGATACTTTATTGTTTGTTATAAATAAAACTTGTGTTGTTATTTTCAATCTTTTGCGATTTAACTATCAATGGTTTAAATCTCGAAATAATAAACTGACAAATCTTGAAAACGTTTTAAAACCTTCACATTCAATATACACAAGTGAAACAATATTATTTCCTCTTAAAAGAATATTTTAGGAATTATAGCACAGATTACATTAATGAGTAAATTTAAACTTTTATTCGAAATTAAATTGGACGTACTAGACTTGAGTATGAGATTAATACCAATAAATGGACACAAGTATCTCATGTTTATCATAATAGAAATTTTTTTAATCTATCGCACGTCACGTGATCAGACGCTGCTGAGCAAATAAAAGCAGTGGGTAAAACTGAATCGACTCAATAAACTAACACAGTACGAATCAAGGAAATAATTCTGCAATAAATACAATATAAATGCAATAAATACAGACAATAGTACACAATTTTTCTTTATACAGTTTCAATAAAAATTGTGAAAGGTAAATTCGCCTTTACGTATCCGTAATACAGTAAAGTCACAAAAGTGTAAATACAATTCATATCAATGCCAATAATTTCTAACCTTTCTCCATCACACACATACATTTATTTTATATCTATTTACAAAACTTATAAATATTTCATTTAAATAAATTTATCTCAAAAGATTAAGTTACGTTAAAGATTATCAATCAAAAAAATAAAACAGAGTATCAAAATTTTTCTCAAAGTAATAATATTCGATGATTTTTTTTTAAAAAAAGAAAATAAAAATAACCAAACTGAAATCAATCATGCATGCCCGCAGTTTCAAATACGAAGCGAAATTTCCACGATATAAATCCCAAACTGTGATCCGAAAGGGTTTTTAAATGCTGTTTTTCAATCTTGATACAAAGAGAGGAATTTAGGTGCAAAAAAAGACCTTGAAGGTTATATTTATTCAAAGGACACTAAACTCAAGTACATAATATTCTCAGAAAAAAGTCTAGGGATATCCCACCTTGCAAGATATGAATAACGAGCAATTGCTGCGACAAAGAAACCGCAAATATGAAAATAAAATTAATCTCCTTATGAAGTAAGAAGTTTATTATTTATTTTTCAAAAGAACACTGTGAGAACCTATTTTGAAAATTCCCAATTTCCTTGAATTACAAATATTTTCTATTTATTGTTAAAGTGTAATGACCACTTCGGATCGATATATAATTTGAAACTATTATTATTTATTTGAAAAAAAAATAGTTCAGATTTTGCGTAAGAATTTCAATTTTTACTCTTTGCAACTCATTATATATATATATATAATATACAGAAATAATATAATTCATTCACACTACATGATTCATAGATACACAGACATCGTGATAACAAGTAATAATTAAAATTATATGAATTGATGATAATTTAACCATCACTTTGTCCTTTATAAATCAACCACTCATAAGTTCAGAAAAATTTCAAAATTCTCTTTCACAATATTCAAAATGAAAAGATAACAATTTAAAGTTACATTAAAAGTAAAAGAAAAAAAAGATAGAAAAATGAAAATGTGAATGATTTTGAAAAGGTTTAGATATAATTAACGATAAAGCTGCACAATATAATATTGGTGACCAGCATTGTAAAATTTTGAATTAACTTATATTTGTAAGGATAATTTCCTTAATTATTTGTTATCCAATTTATATCGATTGTTTTAATCAATATTCATACATTAATTATCTATCTATCTCTATACATAGGAGTTTGTAATGAACAGTATTTCTAAAATAATTAGTTTAAAAAAATTTAAAAAAAAAACACGCTTTTATAGTTAATCGAACTAAGTTGTAATTTAATCTTTTAGTCGCTAAATATGGAAATGGATGCGAAATTAGTCGCCAGATGCAGGATGGGATCTGAAAATGGGAAATCGTTAATCCTGATGATCCCAATCAGGACAATGGAATATAATTATTAATTTATTGTATTGTCATCGGTCCTGGATAGGTGAGCAAAATTTCGAATTAATCTGACAGTTTCATTTTAGCTTAAAGACCGAGAGCTAAAATGAGTAAGCACGACCTAAAATAATTTCAAAACATTTTCAATGGAGTAAATTTTAAAAAAACTTTTTCCTGCGTTTTTGCTGTTCATCATTTTTAAAACCTTTTAATTGAGATATAGCAAAACCAAAACAAATAATGCAAAATTAAGCTTTCGACTAAAATTTCGAAAACACATGCCTTTTAAACTTTTTCGTAAATATTCATTTATCGCCAGGAAAATTGGAACGAAAAGTGAAACCTTTTTTTTTTCAGGATTATTCCGTAAATACATTTTGCCCACGTTGTCGCAATCTACGAGATAAAAGGAAGAAAAATGTGAAAACATCTGTGGAGAGACCAACCCTTGCGCAGCTTCTCTTGTCAGATAAATCACTACAGTAAAGCTTCCACATCAAATACGGAAAATTCTAAAAAAAAAAGAGAGAGAGAGAGATCTTTATCGTTAGAGAGTTTGCTAGAAATTTGTCTCTCTCTCTCTTTAGTGCTATTTGGCAAGTTTTAGTTAATTTGCAATATTTTTCTTGATTTACAATAAATCAGCGGTTCTTAAATTTTCGATCGCCATGACCACCCTTCATGTATCAGCCTGGCATTGCAGATCTCCAAAATCTTGTACACCCCTTCCTGACTCCCAACATATGACAGTGATTTAAAGGTTCATCACTAGTCCTCAGATTGCTTCTGCCATTTATACAAACTTTTTTTTAACACTTCTTTATTTTCTTTTAAGAAAACTGTTAACATCTAACTTTAATGTTTTTAAAATTATTACAAAATGCTAGTTTCAAATATATAAATAATACAGGCGCAATTCGATTTTGAAATCAAGATGAATGCAATCATTATCGTGTTTGGCGCGCTATGTGAATTCAATTCTTAATCTGTGCACATGTGTTTCTATTATATGTTTTTTGAAAATATTACTTTTAAGTAATGACTATCCAGTTGTAAATAATAAAAAAACTGAATTAATAATCTTGATGAAATAATTAATAATCTTCTAGTAAATATTTTTTATTGCGACAATTTAGTAATCTGGTCTAATATGTCGCATCTTTCCATTTTTCCACGAGGTCTTTCAGAGTCTGTAAAAGAGGGAAATCTTAAGACTAGATGAGAGTCCTGGGGGTCCACGGACCATAGTTTAAGAACCGCTGCAATATATTTAAAAATTAAGAAAAACAAAAATAAGAATTTTTAAATTTTAATTTAGGTTCCCAACCTTTTTTGAACTTTTCTATTGAATATTTCGATACCCCCTCCAGGGAAATAAGGGTGTACATAATACATGGTGAAAACAAGAATTAATTTTTTTTAAAAATATTCCATTACTAATAGAATATATTTTTTAAAGCTTAATTTTTTTTTCACTTGCAACTTTGAAATAGCTATTGCCACGAATACACAATTTTAAATACGTACAATCAACATAAAGTAACCACACAGTATTCAAGTTTACTTTTGATAGTACATAATCAGCGCGTTTTTTTTATAGTCTTTTTACTATACTTGGTTAATCTGCCCATCCCTCCATACCTTCTCAAAACCCCCTAACTTACTCTGGGTCTTTTTCTGCCCCCTGAAAGCCTCAAATGCCTACAAGGAGGCGTTATCACCTACGTTGAGAACCTATGCGAAATGCAAGAACAGTTGAAAAGTATTAGCCCATTCAGTTTTATAGATAGTTTAATGATTTACAATAGAGGTATGTAAAGGTCCTAGTGAGTGAGTATTAACGTCGCACTGTTCAGATCCACGAGGGCTTTTGGCGACGAAACACGTAATTTTAAACCATGATCAAGTAACGTGGACGACACCTGCACCACCACCCTCTCCTAACTACCACACCAACGGGAGGACGTTTCAGCTCTCGACAGATTTAGCGTGCATCGCTGCCCTACACGGCGGGTCTTTAGTGGTACTGGACTCGAACTCGTGACAAAGCCAGCCACGATCCGACACTTATACCACTCGGCTACCGCGGCCACATTTAAAAGTCCTAAGAACCCCCCAAGGCAAATGGTATCGAATAATTGTTTGCTTATTTACACGTGAAAATAACATGAACACTAACGATGGACCTCATCATTTTGACACACGGTCAAGCAACGAGGACGATGCCTGAACTGGTAAGTAATACACCTTTCTCACTACGCCAACGTAAGAGTTTCGAGGGATTTAACGTGCTTCGATATTCTTAAGATGGGTCTATAATAGTACCAAGACTCGAACCAACGACTCGATGGAAACAATCCAGACGACGAACTCTCGATAATGACCACTTGACTACCGTGGCCATAACAATGATAATAGGAAAGGTATAACGTTTTCAAATTTGAGAAAAAAATTAATATTACATTAGAATTAAGACAGAAGAGATATATTGTAAACCCCAAAACTGATTTTCAAAAACATCTTTGGATAACTGCACACAAATAAAATATTTAAAGGTACCTTGATAACCTTCTAACTTTGGAATATCGGCATTTGGACCAAATTAATACAGAATGTGCTTGTACGTAACACATGTCTTTTATCCAAAGGTGATTTCTTTTTAATAAAAATTATGTGAGAATAATATTTCATCAAGAGTATCTGTAGACGGATTTAAGAATTATACAAAAACTACCCAATTGTTTTTGCCACTTATTATTAATCATTGCAACATAGCAAACAAGTTTTAA